AAGTATTTATGACCAAATGGTTAAATCGTGTGAATGAATTTGGACAATATTTGTCACTTTACTGCAGTGCGCAAATGTGTGCCAAATCATTTGGATCTTTGGCAGCCAAATCGTCTGATCGCTAAACAAATCATTTGTACATTGCTATCCAAATGCGCAAATGTGGACAAATCTAAATTTGGCATTTTGTGTACAAATGTACAAATCGTGTGATCCCTGCTTAAGAACGAGAGATTGCCACAGTGGCATGCTTCTGAACTCATCAGGAGTGTGCGGCCTGGTTATCACCCAGCTTCTTTGATGGTTTGGTGGAAGTCAATGGGGTTTTGAAGGAAAAAATTTATGGTTTAGAAGTGTTAATACATTTTCGCAATTTTTTCCAGTTTGAGGGAAAACGCCTTATGTATACTGAAGTTTGAGTAGTGAAAGTAATCTATTTCATTTTTAAAAATGTGAAAGTATGTAATTGAAAGCTTTGCGAGGCTTTTTCCAGTTCAAAACAAAACTTCCACAAGTACTTAGGATATTTTTGTGCATACGAACGTGCTATAAAGATCTTCCAAAAATTTTCACATTTTTGAATTATGTTGTTAAATAAAACTATTTAGTTTTTTGTTTATATCAAAAATATATTAATTGCTCTTTTAACTGATTCGATTTTTTTTTTTGTTGTTTGATCATAAGTACCCCATTTAGTATTTAAGGGAGATTCAGTGGAGAAAGACGTTAGTTATCAAATTGAGAATTACAAGTCGGCGAAAGTTTGTTTTTATATATATTTCTTTTTCTTTATTTGGTATCGAAAACTCATGAACTGGCCTCCCACAATAGACTAATTTCTATTTATAAAAGAAATGGCTAATCAATTATTTATGTATGTATTTGCCCTCTACGCTCGACTTTACTTATCATTTTCAGTTTTAGCGACAATAACTATATAATCGAAATGAAAACTATTTTAAAAATTCAATTATGAAACAAAAACAAAATTAATTATTTTTGCGTAAGCGTTGTCAAAAGTTTTTTGGATATTAAAACAAATAGCAAACAATTAGCGAACATTAAACAACAAAAACAACAAATATGTACCAGAGTTAATTAATTTGAAAATACTAAATTAAGCTTTTAATTAGTCATTACTCAAATTAGAATTTTAATTAGCGCTATATAAAAAAAAATAAAAAATTAAGAAAAAAATAAAAAAATTGACTTTAGAACATGAAGACACGCATTAACTATTTTGCCTCACATGTACATATGTATGTATGTACATATGTACATTCGCATACACGACGTACTTAAATAATAGATTGAGCAGCGACACTGTTAAACGATTTCGAAATTGGCACAATTTTCAACTCAAAAGCCTTATGTTATACATATTCATACTTGCCCATCCGTGTAAGTACATACTTACATACATATATTAGCGGGTAGTTAATTGAAAACAATGCACATACATATATAGTACATACAAAAATATTACATTACATACATGTGTATGTAAAACGAAATTTAACTGATACATAAGTAAGTTTGTGAAATCGGATGCGAAATTAAGTATGTATACATACATAGAAATCAAGTCATTATAAAATTCATAAGGACTTTCATTGAAATCAAGAAGAAGCTTTACAATAAATAATGAAAATGAAAAAAAGAAAAAAAATGATCTTTTAATTTGATTTGTTTAAGGTAAGTACAACAAAGTATTTATTACTATATACTACTATACACTAGGAGAAAAATCAACCAATAATTGGTTAATATTACCAAATTAAAACTTGAAAAGGAATCTATGTGGTTTTTGGTTAATATTAATAATGCCTTGGTTGATGTTTTCAACAATTAAATAATTGGTAATATTAACCACACTTTCGTTTACATTAACCAAACTTTTGGTTGTCGATTTTTTCGTTTGAAAACGTTTATGCTCTGCACTTCACAGATACTTTTTCATAATTTGGAGATACAAAACAAAAAATTTTATAGTCATATTCACATGTTGCCTCTGACAGTACAAATGTCTGATACAAATGTCGATAACAAGTTAATAACAAAATGCGATGACAAAATCGATACAAATATCGATAATAAACTCGATAAAAAATATCGCCATAATATCGGTAAGTTCCGAGAATACCGAAAATCTCTAAAATCCCGAAATAGTTCCCAGGTTGAGTCTCTGTGTCTCTATCAATGCTCTCCTTTGCTTTATAATTATCTTTATTTGAATCTTTCCTCCTCTATCTTCATCTTTACTTTTATCGATATCCTCGTCCTCATATTTTTCTTAAGATTTATCTTTGTTTTTACCTTTCTGTTTATCATTTTCTGCAGCTACATATTCCCCTTCACCTTTGCTCTTATATAAGTAAAGTGTTTACATTTACCTTGATCTTCATTTTTGCCTCTACCTTTACCCATCTTTGGTTTTGTTTTTATTTTTTCCTTTGCTTCTATCCTTTTCTTTATCTATGTACGTACTCACCTTTGCTTTCAATCTTGTATTGGTCTTTGTTTAAATTTTATTCTTTAACCTTTTATTAGCGCGTTTTTGTTAAATTATTAATAACATGTGCATACATTTGAGCAGCACTTGTTTCCGTCCTAGAGATTTCCGTGTGCAATTTCCGCTGAATTTGCCAATTTACTTTCAACCAACCAACAGCCGCTAAAGAAGTTTTACGGGTACTTCAATAATTCGAAGCCAATCGAAAGCGTGACACCAAATTTAGTAGCACATATTTTAAGTATTTATTTATCTAACTATCTTAATACTCATAAATAAGAAACACGCATTTTATACTTGAATTCAATAATTTATTTATACATTTATTGCATCAAATTAAACTGTTATATATGTAGTTAGATGAATGCTTTTGTTTATGCACTGATTCAGTTTGGTTTTTCTTTTTTTAATTTTAAGTATATGTACGTATATAGTATATGTAAGTACCTAAGCATATACATACATATATATTTCATTCATTGAAACTGTGGAATTTATGTAAATATTTATACATTCATAAGTACATATTTTTGCATGAGTGAATACGATTGGATTTTATTTTATTTTTTTTTTTTTAATTCGTATTTCATATGTGCTTGTTATCATTACATATGTATGTATATTTTTGCATGTGAGCGTAAATGTGTGTATGTATGTATATTGCTTTGTGTGCAAAATGCAATAGCGAGGCGCACCACAAAGTGCTGTACAACATGCAATAGTCGCCATTGGCTTGATGGATTGATGGATTGACTGGGTGGCGGGGCAGCAAACTTCTTGGACGACTATCGCGTGACGACGCATGCGTGCCCGGTGGCTGGTATGTACAATACATATAGTGTATGTAGTATTAGGTATGTATGTAACTGTCAAAGAGTTAATTTTGTCATGCATGCGTGATTGCAAATTAATTCTTTAGTAAATAAATCAATTCAATGCATTTTCGCTGATATGACGTGAAGCGACGTTTGCTCTGCACGCAATCATGCATTTGCTTCAAAAGTTGTAACAAAAAGAAATCGCTAAAATGCAGTTTTATCTACATTTTATCGTAGGTAAACGTGCATTTTGTATTTGTTTTTTTTTTGTTGTTTTTTTTTTTGGATTTGTTGAGGTGTATCTCCCTCATTCAACGCTCAGTTACAAGCTTTCGTACTTAGGCGAACATATTTTTTGGTTTTACATAGCTATATAGTAAATATGTATTTTAATTGCAATTTAGAGTTGCATATTTATAGGCGTACACACATGTAATTTCAAGTTTAAATTGATTTAAGAAGCCTGTTTTAACATTCCAGAATTATTAGCTAAATTTATTATTTGTATTATATTTATTTGTGTTTTGTTTTTTGTTTTTTTTTTTTTTTTGTTTTTTCTTTCTTCCTTTTCATTTGATTTTTATTCGCATGTCACGCAAATACAACGATATTTTCACTAAATATTTTGTATATATTTAGAATACACTAGTATCTAATATGTAGAATCAACTCAACTCAACATCAGACTAATATGTATGTATGTATTTTTTGTTTAATATACTCCTAAAGAATGTTCTCATATTTGATATTCATTTATTTATAGATTAACAAGTTGAAGATAATTTAACTTCTTGTAAAGGCATTAAAGTTGAATGCATCAATAAGTCAATACATATGTATATATAGGAAGGTCTGATATATAAATAGTACCATGTATGTAAGTAAGTAACCATGTATGCATTTGTGTATGTAGCTATGTTTACAGCATTACTAAATCGTTCTCGTACCTAGAAACATAAATATGCGCTATGTATATGTATGTATGTATGTATTGTATATAGAAAACTTTATATGCGTTTACATACGAGTACTTGTTAAATGTTTTGAGATCTTTACTACTTATGCATATATTTATAAATCTTTGAAGATTCGTTTCTCGGGCTATAGCTTGTATGTATATATGTATGTATGTATTTTTGTATATATGTATGTACGTTTAATGCATATAAATATATAACACTATATGTATGTGTGTATGTATATTTAACAATTTTTGTATTCTTTGGTTTTGTAGTGAATATTAAAGCAACATTTTGAATTTTATATACAGTGCCGGCCACTTGAATAAGGCCCTTGACAGTCTTCCTTTAGTTTATTTAGTATTCATTATTTTTTTATAAAAATATGGCATTTTCTATAACCAAAACCATGTAAATCCGATTTTCAAACTTTATAAAAAGTGCATAGTAATTCAATTAAATTTCAAACTAAAAAGAAAATAGTTTTTTTGAGTATGCAGAGTAGGTACTCAAAATTTATAACAGGCGTGTTTTATTTTCCCTGAAATCTTAGTTATTAACTGATTTTTTATGGTAGATTTAGATTTAGCTTCTAAAAAGCTATCTTGGCTTGTATATTAAACTGTCATTCAGTATCAGAAAGCTTTCTTCTACAGCCAATCAGAAAGATGTAAAAGCTCGCATTTGACACTTCAACGTTCAAAAATTTACAAAATGCGAACAAAACTCTTGGGTACGTTCTCAAAGTGAGAAAAAATCTCTCAAGAAGGACATAATGAGAACGAAACTTTCAGGACTTAAAGAACTTAAGGTTTAGAATGAGAGAGGGTGAACCATGAATGTCAATTCTACGTCAGACGAAAGCTGAATCATTTCAACTTACAGATCGTTCGTCATTAGGGTGAACTGTCATTTATGACACAAATTTTCAATTTCTGTACAAAAAAATCCTACCTCAAGTCTTTCATTGGCTTTTTTTGCATTAGGGTGAACCGTTCATTTGTGGAACAATTTTTAATGTTGTGTGCAAGAAAAGTTCGCGACTTAAGTCTTTCGTTGACTCAATTTGCATATTTATCTTTTCACTTCTAATAATAAATAATGCACGGCTGTGAGAAAAATTTGGTTCTCGATTTCATTCTGCGCGAATAGTTCAGAGAAGATTTGTTTCTGTTTCGTTCAAATTTCAAGGCGCTGAAAACTATCGTTGAGCAAAATCTATTTTTATATGAAATAAATTGCGCAACACCTTCGGGAAACTCAAACAAACTACTATTTTTTCTTTAATTTGAAATTTTTATGAAAATTTGTTGAATTATTTTAGTTTTCGTATACAGTTCAAAAACGAATTTACATTGTTTTTATTATAAACTATAGTGAATTCGTATAAAAAGCTTGTGAATATTAAATAAACAAAAGAAAGACTGTCAATACCGAGGAGAGGGTACTATTCAAGTTGCCCACACTGTAGGCAGATGAGTTTTAGGTTATATAGCGTTGAATATAGCACTTATGTATATCGCTTCGTGCTAATGAAATTCGATTTATCAAGTAGCCTATGTATTACCATTTGTGTTTACATACATATTTTTGTAAGAGCATACATATTTTAATTATAAACACTTATAAACAATATTTAAATAAAATTGTAAAAAATGTACATAGTGGCTGTAATAAACTTAATTCTTAGCCTGAGTAAGGAGAAAGCGTGTTTTTCGTTCGAGTGTAGATTAAACCGACCGCGACTTGCAAATTGGAAGGAAGTATTACTTTTCATAAATGCAGAACTTATCAGTTTGATTTATTTTGCAGAATTGTTGGTGAAACCTCTATACGAGTATAAGATACCTGGATATACATACATATGCAGGTGAGGTTAAATTGGTTGGTAGTGTCCAGTTGGCGACAGACTTGGCCATTATACTCGTAGAGGTTGTCCTTTGTGATACCACGGCATTTTGGGTGCTACTCAATCGATATAGTGCCGCATGCCAGTCACGAAGTTGCGGAGATGGCTAATACGGGCCTACACTCAATTAACCCTACCCATGCTTCAGGCATCACACTGGCTTCATGTAAAAAAAGATCTAAAACTCCTATACAAATTGATCGTTCCATTACCAGCGCAGTGGTCGGCATCAATACAGAACACTGCTTAATGGGAACGCATGGTAAGCGAAAAAGGTTATAGTAACTGCAAGGACGAGTAGGAAGTGGAGAGAGTAGATCCTATCTCTGCCACTGCATCGCTCTGCCAAACAACGATTTTTTTTTTTTTTCAATAAATATCTCTTTCAGTGTTTAGTTAATTTCGCCTCTTCGGACACTCGCGACAATACGCTTAGGTAACACGGGAGATCGATGGAAATAAAAAAAGAGTTCGCTGGCGTAAGCGTGCCTCTCTGTCTGACTGCGCGCAGTGGAAACCACCATAAGCCAGACCATTTCACACCGCATTTTTCTCGGTCTGAAATAACCCAGGTAAAATACTACTCTCTTCCCCTTCTCGCCTATGATAAACCGGTTTCAGACGGTCTCAAAAGACTAGTCAGGCTCATAGGCTATGTATGTAGAAGTGATGTTAAGCATAACTTTAATCTCCTTCCAAATTGGGAGCGAACTCTCCGAACCGTTTTTTTTTTAATGCATACTTGGACCACCCTAATGGACATTTGTGATATGCAACTTATCTTATTGGCAGTAATAACAAAATGGTGCGTGCACACATATTTCCAAAATGAAGTAAGTTAGCCAAAGTACTCTATTGAAAATATTCTTTAATTCAATTAATTCAAAAAGATTTTATTAGTTTACCGTGAGTATGGATGCGAGCGACCTCTATTGCTCGGATAGAAACCACCGCGAAGTCATGCGATTTTTTTTTTTATTGAGTTTTAAAAGGTGTTAGAAACATTTGAAAAAACCGGATCGTTAAAAGAAATCATAAACAATGTTGTACAGTGTAATTATTTCAAATAAATGTACTTGAATTTGCCGAGTCGTGGACATATTTTACGTATACATATTTTACAAAGGCTAGTCAATAACAGTTTTTAAGATAAAAATTAGATTTCATTTCGTTAAGTTTAGTAGCTTAGTACTGAAAGAGTAATGAATTGTGGTAAAAGGCTTAGATTTTTTACATCAAATATTCAGGTGGCACTCAAGGATCTCTCATCGTTCGTGGTCAAATCATCAGTGGTTCTAGAGTGTGTAGAGAAACTTAATGCTCTGGCTGATGATAATGGTATCCAATTTCTCTGGATACCATGGCGAATGAGAGTCGATGAGTTAGCCAAAATTGATGCTGCCTCGACCCCCATAGGACCTCAACCATTTCCGAAATTCAATTTTTAAGTTCCGAACCCGCTCATCCTGTCGTTTCTTATAATTGTTGCGCCAGTTCCGTGAGTCCCAAAATCTATCACTGAGATTCTGGACTATCGGTGAATCCATCGTAGTCCGAATTTCATGAAATCTATGAAAATGCGATCACTGTATCCGAATTATTTGTGTAATTTTTTCTTCATAAAAACAACGCTAAAAATACTTAGTCAGACGAAATCCCTTACTTGCTTTTATATTTCAAATACGCGATTTCTGCTACCCGTGAAATTAGCACATTTATAAATTAGTGTTAAAAAATATAGTTTTGAGTAAATATTAGCCCTACAGTAATCATTACGAATTGACCACCACGCCAAATTAACCCCAGGTTTACTTTATTATGATTGTACTACGGCTTTTAAACACTTATTGTCAGCTGATTAAATTAAGTGACATTTTGGCTATTTTTCTTTTGGTTATATAAAACTGCATAGCCAATATTTTTCGAAAAATTCTGAATTAAAAGTCTAAAATGTTTGGATGTAATTATTAAAGTTTTTTTTAAATTTTTATAACTTTTGTACGTAGTTTGAAATGTGGATTTATGTGGTGCTGGTTATGTAATCTGCTAGACTTTTATAAAAAATTATAAACATTAAATAGACAAAAGAAAAAAGCTAAAACTGATAAAAAAAAATGTCACTTAACTCTTAATCAGTGATGGGCATACCAAAGTACTTTTGTATTTGAAGTGCCAGTTTGAGTACTAAACAACCATATAGTAGTTAGTTTTTGGAGATGTCTAAATACTCAAGTAAAACCAACTTAGGTAATTAGGAATCGGTAAATACTAAAGTTAAAAAAAAAAAAACTTTGGTATTTAGGAGTTTCTAGATACCAAAAAAAAAAATTAAAGTGTTTATCAGGGGCTAAATACTCTGATTTAAAGTGCTCAGGTACTTCAGATATGCAAAATACTCACACTGAAGTACAATGGTATTTAGTAGAATTAGAATCAGCTCAGTGAAGCGAATCACAATAAATTTTATATCTGAAAATCCCGAAATAGTCAAAAAAATCTAGTAGTCCCAAAAGCCTTAAACAGTTTCGAAAGCCCAGAGGAAGTTCTAACTTCGCGTTAAAGCTACATTACATAATTTTATATAATAAATAAAGTAACAATACCGGTAAGCTTGTTGTGTAATTTTTACATATGATTTTCAAAAGTCATTCTGGTTGCTATTGAGGTCTAAATTAGAAACGAAATTTTTAGAGATACACATATAGAAATCTTATATTTCGTTTGTATACATACATACTTACAAATTAATAAGTACGTTTGATCGATTTTCATTAAGATTTATCTTTAGTATGAGTATGGCTGCGAATTTCATTTTTTTTGTTGCAAGTAAGCTGTTTTTGGAATACATATGTAAATACGTAGCATATGCGACTTCTGAAACATTTTTAAAATGTAAATACATACAAATATATATGCATGTTTGTAAGTGTAATAAATATACATATTTAACACAAGCGAAATACATATGTACGTCATAAAAAGCTGCATATTGTCTTGGATTGGTTGTTTATATTTAATTTTTAATTACTTTAAATTTGTGGATTTTTCTTTTATTTTCAAGTCTACCGCTGTCTAATGCTACTTACTATATATTTCAGTTTTCAAGTCCATGCGGAATGCAATTATGGGTATACATTAGGGTAGTCAAAAAATGCATGTGCAAAAGTAAAGTCGGAATTTTATAACTCTCACCCCCTAAGATTGTTCTATACCGGAAAAAATATACCCCTATACATGGAAAACTTTGAGCGCTTTGAGCGACCTCTATATATTTTTTGATTTCAAAATAAAAAAATAAGGGTTTGGTTTTTTTTCGATATAGAACATATCGAGGGTGAGAGCATTAAAATTCCGACTTTACTTATTTTAGACCACCCTAGTATACATATGTACATGCAAATGACGCTTCGCAAACCATTTCTATGTGTAAAACATTGAACTCTTGACAAGGATGTTTGTAGATTTATCGAATTAAACAAATTCTTAATGCTGAATGTGTATGAATATTTAAAAAAAAAAATATGTATTTTCCTAAACAAATTCACGTAGGCGAATAAGAGGCAATAATATTGGTGCCAACGCTTGCACACTTTTCTAAGGTCAACTCCTAAGCAAACAATTAACAAGTAAATTATGCTACAATCAATGATACTAGTACAGATTTAATAGCTTAATCCTTTCCTTTAAATACATTTATACATTTTTGTTTTTAATTAATACTTTTCGTTTTACAGTTCCTTTACACATTGCCGTTTTTTGCTATTTTATACTTTTCTTGTTCTGCCTTCAAACTTGACTTTAACCACAGTAATTTTGTTTTAGTTAAATTCCAAAAATTCATTTAAACTTTTATGTAATTTTTTTTTTTCATTTTGCTTCTTATATGTATGAATGTAGTTTCATAAGTATTGGTACTACGACATTTTTCAGCGTTGTGTTTTGAGACCTTTATTTGCTTAAGTTTACATGCCAACGCCTATGACTCGTTATACGTTGCCTGCAAAATGGAAAGATGCACAAAAAATATTATACTTACGTAGATATGTACGTTTTGAGCATATAACGATCCATTCAAAGTTAAAAAAAAAAATAAAGCACAACTCAACGCTCAACAGTTCAGCAGGGCGGAGGAAATTTAAAAATAAAAAGTTATGAGAAAATAAAATATATATTTTCGAATTCAAATCGTAATTATGTACAAACAAATGATAAATCTTATTGCAATAGCTATACAAAATAAATTTATTATTGTTCTACTGTTGCACAAAAAAAAAATGTTCATTTAACATTGACGAAAATAAAAATATTTTAATAAATATACATACATATGTGTGTTTGTATCAAATACTATGCGTGTCATTAGCTAAACGAAATAGTTTGGTTTCCATTTTTAATTGATAAAGCCAAATATTATGTTTGTATGTACATATGTACGTATGTATGAATGTATATTGAACAAAAAAGTTTAACAAATAAACAAAAATGCAATACGCTTAAATGTAACATTAAAATTATATTATTGCATAATTAAAATATTATATGTATTACATCACGTCGCGTTCGTGCAAAAACTACCAGTTCGTATTATTAGATATACAGTCGGTGTCAAATGTGAGTGTACACCTTGTTGTAATATAAAATTCACAATTATTTTCATGTAAAATTTTTTTCATCAATTATTTATGAAAATATAGTTCATTATATAATATAAGCCATAAATATAAATCAAAGTTTCACACTTTATGTAAAGTTCATACAAATTCAAACAATTTTCATCAAAATTTTTATTCAGAATTTCTAGAAAATCTTTGAGTATGCGGCTTTGTAGCCCGTTCAACTTTACTTCCTAGAAAACGCGCAGCACCCTCCACAAAAAAAAAAAATATAAAAAATCAACGGTAATTTCTAGCGAAATGAAACTTGCACTAAAATTTAACGGGCCATAAAACTGCATACTCAAAAATTTTCATGATTCAAATTCAAATTCTGGATAAAAATTTTCAGTAAAATTTTTTAATTTTGGTGAACTTTATATAAAGTGATTGGTTTAATGCTTTATGTTATATGTTATAATTAATGAAAAAACATTTGCATGAAAATAATTATGAATTTTATATCACAACAAGGTGTAAACTTACATTTGGCACCGACTGTATGTATACTTAGAGTGCGAGCAATCGCTTATTGGACATTTTTCGGAAATCTACGCAAGTACCAAAAGAAAAACATGAAAAATATTCGAAAAAAATAAAAAGTAAATTTCAAGAAAAAATTTATACAAAAACATATCACTTAAAGTAAGCTTTATACTTAAGACAACCACACTTATTGGCTCGCGTGTGAACTATAATTTTTATTGCAACGCAAAATCTGGAATGAAGCAGTTAGCCGATTGAAATTTAATGAACGCTTACGATAATTTTGCAATCATACTGCCATGTTTTGCTATACCGATTAGAAATTTTACACAAATCAATCTTATAAACAAAACGATAAGAAAATAAAAATTTATACAACACAAACATTATAAAGCTACATTAAGATAAGTGTTTTTTTTTTTTTTTAATCATGTCAATAATACACCACTGTTATGGATACGAAGAGAGCGAGAATAAAAACCAGAGTGACAATAAAAAAAAAATCGATGTATGTATATGTATACAAAAAAAAAAATTGCTTTAGAATATTTAACCTAAAAATTAAATTATTAAACATAATAACAAATATGTATAGTAATTCATTCTTGTGCACATTATATGTAGAATAATAACTTGTGCTATTTGCCATTGCTCGCCTTCTTACCGGATGTCACAAATGGACCAACATAATTGCTAGGGAATAAACCGGATAAGCCATTTAGTTCGCCTCGCCACCATTCGGGTTCATCACGTCCCAGTACGCTAATAATGTCATCTTTTTCAAAAGAGAGTTCATCATCGTTTTGTGCTTTATACGGATACAAAGCAATGACTTTGTCTGTAGAAGAAAGAAAGAGACAAACAAATTATTATTTTTTTATTTGTTTATTTATTTCTAAATAGTAATCTATGCAGTGCAAGTAATTCTTACAGACTACGTATTATAGATATTTGAGGGATTCACAATGGTGTCGTTAGTGTCGTATTGTTGTACATATGTCGTAAACTTTAAAAGCTTAAATAAATGCTTAGAGAACATGGTACCACAACCAACTACTTTTTAACACTGCGAAAATTCATAATATGACTTTGATGAATACCACAATTGTTTTTTTTTTTAAGAAAAGTATAAAGGCATAGATAAAAATAAAAACAAAGATGCGTAAAGATAAAGGCTAAAAGTAAAAACAAAGATAAATATAAAGAAAAATATGAGGATGGGGATACCGATAAAAGTAAAGATGACGATAGAGGAAGAAAGATTATTACTTTGGGATTTTAGAGATTTTTGGAATTCTCGGGACTTATCGATATAATAATCGATATTTTATCGGGTTTGTTATCGATACTTTTTATCGATTTTGTTATAGAAAATTTGATCGATATTATTATTGATTTTGCTATCGATATTTTCGGAACTTATCGATTTAATAAACGATATCTTTTATCGATTTTTTATCGATATTTTGATCGATTTTGTTATCGATATTTTGATCGATATTTTTATAGATTTTGTTATCGATTTTGCTATCGATATTATTATCGGGTTTACTATCGATATTATTATCGCTTTTGTTATCGATATTTTTTTCTTAGTGTATGATTTCGTTTTCGTTTCGTGATTTTTGGAAAATGGGCGTAGCCATGGTTACATGTGTATATCTTGGTAACCACTGCACCAATTTCTTCCAAACTCGGCACAGTTGTTGGCCTTGGTACAGCATGGCGTGGGTATGCCTATATCCTATATAACGGTAATTTAGAGAAATACAAAATCTTCGATAAAAGGGTAAATATCAAAGCTAATTTATTCAAAATTGATGCTTGCCACAATTCTTTACCAAGAAATATGTTTATGATAAAATTTTGGAAAATGGGCGTAGCCATGGTTACATGTGTATATCTTGGTAACCACTGCACCAATTTCTTCCAAACTCGGCACAGTTGTTGGCCTTGGTACAGCATGGCGTGGGTATGCCTATATCCTATATAACGGTAATTTAGAGAAATACAAAATCTTCGATAAAAGGGTAAATATCAAAGCTAATTTATTCAAAATTGATGCTTGCCACAATTCTTTACCAAGAAATATGTTTATGATAAAATTTTGGAAAATGGGCGTGGCACCGCCCACTTATGATCACATATATGTATCTCGGTAACCGTTCTACCAATTTCTACCAAACTCGGTATGGTTATTCGCGTTTGCGATTGTGAAAAATATATGTCATTCAAAACCTCCCCTCTTCCATGGCAAAAATTCAGTTTTCTGTTTCAATACAATCCTTGTGTACAATTACCTAAAATTTTTGTATGTGGCAAAACTAATTTTACAGCAGTTTGACTCAACAAATTTGGTTTTCTGTGAGAGTTACCAAACTCACCTTCTCTCTTTCTGTGTGATATCGTCGTAAATTACAGTATTCCTAGCATGAACGTACAAAAATATCCCCAACAAGAAATTTTGTAGGCGGTGGTAAACGTTTATTTGCCATGCAAATATAATTTTCGTACTCTCAATCTATTGCAAGAGACATATAAAACATATTTTGGTGAAATTCCTACATACAAATACAGCAATCAAACAAAACATACATCTTCTTTAAATTATAATTACAAAGCAGTCAAATTGGTATCGAAAAAATCTGCAGATTCAAACAATAATTACTAAAAAACTTCAAATACGCACCTAAAATTTGTTCCGTCATTTCGATGCGACTGCCCGAGACGGGTGTATTGCGCCCACTATTGCGTCCGCCTTGCAAAACCTTCACATATGTGGCTGGGAACCAACCGATTTGGCGACGACGGCCTTTAGCTTGCAGTTCACCCTCCCACCAACCAGAATCGGTCTTCTTTCGTATCATTATCAATTGGCCACGGGTCAGTGAAAGCTGTTCAGGACTGGTGGCTTCATATGGCGCTATTACTTGTGCAATTTCTGAACGTTTGGCGCGCATACCCTGCGTTAATATATTGGAATGCATATAAATATAAAATTAATTATTCTATGTAAATACAAATTTAATAAGTTTTACAGTGAAAATAATAATTTTAGTACGATAACCAAAACACTACATCAAAAGATTACAACCTAATGATGTAACTACATATGTATATAGGTATATATATTAGGATTAAGGATGTTAACAAATTATTTACAGGCGTCATGGAAGAGGTGCGTGACATTGGGCGACTATACGATTCCGCCGATTCATTTTGATTCTTTGATTGTGTATTGATTTGTGAAACTTCCGTGTCCAAGTCTTCATTTGTACGCGTTTCCTCGGCAGATGCAGCTGCTGCAGTACTATGATCAATAGCCGCTTCTGCACTAAAATCGCTACTAATTTTTTGTTGTAGTTGTTGATGTATTGCTGTTGTCGCAGTTGTGTCATGGCTTGTCATTTGATCGTGTGGTGAAGTGGCTGTTATGACGCTACTAGCGGCGGCTATATCAACGTTGCCATTTCCCTGTGGAATGTGACAAAAGGCGGCAATGGAGCAGCAATTGAAGGAAATGTGGAAAAGCAATTTGTATTAATTGTTAGTAGTTATACAAGTTACATACATACATATGTATGTGATAAGTGTGAAAATACGCGAATATGATATGAAAATGAAAGGGCGTTTGGAGCAACAGGACGGTAGAACGTATATGTTCCATAAATTTAACAAACTAATGATTGATACTAGTCCATAGACTGGAAAATTTTCACATATTTACAACTATGTACAACTTACCTTCTGATCATCAAAGTCGCTGGCGATGTCAGCTGCTGCCTCAGCCACTGCTGCGCCTACATCCGCCTTCTGCACATAGTTGGACGGGAACATACCGGTTCGTGTTCCAATTGTTCCTGTCCACCAATCGCCTTCTTTCTTAATTACCATAACCATTTCACCAGCATTGAAGCTTAAATCACCTACTTCAGCAGATTCGTAGGGATACGCAGCGATATAATATTCCACTTCACCGTTGTGTGCATCGGCTGCGAGGCTGTAAAGAAATGTAATTATAATGAAAATGCAGCTTATTTGAATTTAAAAGGAAACAAATTTAACGGCTGGTGGCTGTCGTTCCAAACAGCATCCACTAAATAGGAAATGTCAATGGTCAGTTTTATTGCTATTACAACTAGGTAACCGGAGCGACCCAGATTAATATCAAACCAAGGACTGTCACTCCAGCATAACTCCGTAAAACCCTTTGGGCAATTTGTATGCTGCTTTAACAACAAATTAAACTAAAAAATATTATAAATTACCTCTGACTATTTTCATTGAAGGCGTCTTGTGCCGCATAACCGCTTATTTGCGCATCAGTTTCCGCTCCCGCCGCAATGGCTGGCGACGTTGTAACAGATGCATATTCATCTTCGATTTTCTCCACATAAGTTTCTGGGAACCAGCCAGTGTGTCCATTTATTTCGCCCGCCAACCAACCCGGCTCAGCATTTTGTTCCAGTGGTACCAGAATAATATCACCAGGCACGAATGTAATCTCATCTTGATTTCGTGCTGTAAACTCGTACACAGCACGATATTTGACAAACCCTTCAGGTGCTGGACCGGACATGTCAACAGGTGCAGCCGTAGTTGCTGTTGTATCTGCCATTGCACTTGTATCATTAGAGAGAGCATATTGATCAACACTGGTGCCCCAGGCAGTGGAGCCTGTATCCCAGGCGGAAGTCGCTGCCGATACGTTGTCATTCTTTTTGTTGTATTTCAATTCAAGCACTTGTGTGCGTTGCGTATCGTAGTCAGTATAGAGTTCTTCACATTTCGTTATCAGCGCCGATAGTTCGCCTTTGACTTCGGCAACTTGTAGATCGTTTGAATTGATATCTTCTTTTTTGGATTCGATTTCTTTACGGATGTTTTCGACTTTGTCTCTAACCTGCTTTATTACCAACTGCAAAAGTAGAATTGATGGAAAGATAATATATAATTTTTTCTCATTTATATAAATAAAAAGAATACCCACTTGTTTATTGGCAAAAGCAGCAGTCAATTGCTCTTGTTGAGCTGCATCAGTGCCGCCACCCAAAGCTGTGCTCTTACTCTTCGCATCCCATTTACCTCGCTCTTGTGTAAGTTGCAATAACTTCGCATTTTGCTCCTTGATACGCGCCTTAAGCTGTGCCATTTCAGACATTGAAGTATCCCTTTGTGAGCGCATGCCATCAATTATAGTTTTAACATTTGTTACACCAGCACGTGTATCGCAAATCTTTTGGGACAAATCTTTGATCTGTAATTAAAAATTACAAAATTGGCAGCTATTACGGTAATAACGACATTTACCGCATCCTTAATTTACCTTTTCATTAAGAGTGCTCAACTCTACATTGAGTTGTGTATTGTGCGCTTTCTGCTTTAGTACACGTTCCTGTTCGCGTTGCTTTTGAGCATTCATCTCGGCTATGCGTGCTTGCTCCCACTCCATTTGGCGCTGCTTTTCTAACTCCCTACATATAATCATAATTAAAAATTTCTATACAAAACAAAGAGTAACTCTTTACAACTCACTTTCTGGCTGCCTCTTTAGCTTCTAACTCTCGTTTTCGTTGTTCTTCTTTTTCCATTTCCTGTTCGCGTTGCTTCTGTAGCTGCCTCTCTAGCTCTTCTTGTTGCTTTCTTTCGGCTTCAAGCCGTGCTTTCTCACGCTTCTCTGCCTCCTCACGTTCTTTACGTTCACGTTCCTCTTTCTCTTTGCGTTGTTGATCTTGAAGTAATTTACGCCTGCGATCCAACTCCGCTTGGCCTTTGTCAAAGTTCTCTTTACGTTTGTCTTCAAACGTTGCTGCAAATATACATATAATAGTAGTTTTAATATAAACAATACAATTTGTTTGATTTTTTAATACTTTGCGGAAGGCCTGCTGCCGGATCAGCGTCCACAGCTCCTTGTGACGACACAGAAGCATGTCGCGATGTTGTTGTAGATCCGGGACGTGAGCCCGCTCCTGATACAGATCCTTGACGTGATTTACTCTTCCGAAAACTAGGTGGTATCCAGTCGAGTGGCAAGGTAACGGGTACCTTTTCCCCATTCATGGCCTTATCGCAAAGGAACATAGCCAAAATAAACTCATCACAACTTAGACGCCCATCCGAGTCCAAGTCAGAAAGTGTCCAAATCTGTGCCAGTGTAGCTTGAGGCAACTTGCTTTGTACGAGAATGCTGCGTGCTTGCGCGCCAGTCAAATAGCCAGAACGGGTGCGATCCGTAGCATTGAAGACTTGTGTGTACTTTCGCTTGGCTGGTCCCTTAATAGCCCACTCACTCTGACTATAATATTAAATTATAAGGGTCATTACCGCCAAAAAAAAAGCTTAATAATTGTTTACTTACGGCGATTCAATTGATGGTGCGCGTTCTGAAATTGACATATGGCGACTGGGTGGGTTGCTTTGTGGTGGTGTTGGTAACGCCGGGACCTTGGCTACCTCACCACTATTCGGTGGTGAAACAACTTTGCTTGGTGGCGGTAATATACCACTTGATACAGCTGTTATACCAGGGATCATATTTGGCGGAACTGCACCGCTAGTTGCAACAACTGGCATTGGTACCATACCAGGTATGGGTACGCCACCAGGAACAGGGGGCACCATGCCTGGCATCATTCCAGGCACTCCAACGCCTCCGATAGGTCCTACTCCAGCTATGGCTGTCATTCCAGGCACGCCAGTTGCGCCTACAGGCATCATGCCAGGCTGCATTACGCCGCCAGGTAAAACCATTCCAGCTGTAACTGGAATAGGAGCCGCTTGAATACCTGTCGGAGGAATACCAGGAGGTACGCCTGCAGTCATTGTAGCTGGTAAAGCTTGTGGTAGCACGCCAGGTAGAGTACCTGGCACAATGCCTGGTACAGCAGGTACAGCCCCTGGCAATGTTGCTCCTGATATCGGAATGTTAGGAACGACACCAGAAACAGCAGGTGGTTTAACACCTGTAGCCATTGATTTTAGTGGATCCAACGGACTCAAACTGCCCGTGCCCGTAGGTGTCATAATTGGCGTACCGCCGACGGCTGTTAGAGACGCAAGTAAAGTGGGCGGTAAGACTTTTGGTACTTCCAAGCCACGCAGCTTCAAATTAATCAATTTGCACGCTATGCTAAACTCATTGATATTCATTTTTCCATCAGAATCGGTGTCCGCTAATGCCCTGAAAATTAAACAAAGGCAATGATAACATTAATTTATAAAAAAGCAGTTCCATGAAAACCATAATAACGGTGTTAAATGTAAATCAAACGTATAGGGGCGTTTACATCACTATTGATAACACATACATTTTTAAATTTAAATAAAAATACTGACTCACCATATTTGTCCCAGAACAAGCGGAGGCAATTGCGATTGCAAAAAGAAACCTTTTGCTTGTGCCCCAGTAACAAATCCAGCCTGTGGCTGTAGAGCTTTAAATTGTTCCTGATACTTCAGCTTTTCTCTTTGGGTAATAACCCACGGATCAGTTGCGGGATTCATTGCGAAAGCACTTAGATGTTCTTTTTATTGTATTTGTGCTACTTTCCTTCTACTTTCGCCGAATACGAATCGAATTCAATGGCCGAAGAGGGGCGTAAGTGCTATGCGCAAATCGTAACTGGTATATGAGAACACACAAATTCAGACCGCCGGTTACAAAATATTGGATGCTCTGCCGACGGTACCGTGGGCTATTAAATTCGGTGGCAGCCCAAAACAATTGCTTCCTCTAAATTCTTCAACAATAGTAATTGGAAAACTGTGCAAGTAGCGCACGACTTTCTTTTGATTCTGTTATCGTGTGTATTCCTTGACGCCCCTCCTGCTGCGGCACCTTATCAATTTATTCCCCCTGTTGCCAGCCCCCTCCTTTATTGTATACACAGAATTGTGTGCGGGTGCTGATGTTCCCGATGTAGAGGAATTAAGTATAAATCTACAATATAAAACACTATTTTTTACAGGAACGTAACAAAGTTTTAGCAAAATTCTCTAGGTTTAAATGAAAATTTTCACAGCAATTCCGTGATTACACTGTTATTTTTCTAATATAGTACATATACACATGTACATCTATAAAATAGCAGTTTGATACAATCAAGCAATTTTTTTGCAACCATACGTATTTTATGAAAAAAAACTTCGTTAATTGCTCTTACATATTTTCTGGGCGTTTTTTGCTATTAATCGTCAATTTTTATTCAATTTAATGCACAGAAAATTTACTTTTTCTGAACACTCAACTTTTTCACGAAACAATAAACGTCACACCGAATCAATAAATCGAATTGGAACGGAGATGACAGTAGTAAGAAATCGAGTAATATCTATCGAAAATCTGCGTCATCGACTAAGCTCGATTGGTAATACCAAAGAAGGTAAATTTTTAAGAAGGGACAACTCATTACTTTGAATTTGTGCCGCGCCGATTTTGACCGTATCTGAAACGTTTGCAATAGGAATTCGTTTCCGTTTTAACTCTGTCCGCGGCAGATTTTTTATTTTCGCCTCGAATACGGAAAAGGCAAAACAGATCAAAAGCGGCAAATGTTAATTTCTGTGGTTATTTTGCACAAGTGCTTGAAAAAAAGTAATTTAATTTAGAAAATATATAAATTAAAGTGTAAAACATAGAATATTCAGTGCATGTGTAAAATACGGAGGTGCTTGCTTGTGAAAGTGTTCAGATTAATAACAAAGTGTTTGTAAGTGCAGTGTTTGTCAACAAGTGCCAATTGTTGGTGTCTATGGATAAGTGATCATAATTTTAAACAAAATCACTGTACTTTTATATAAAAATGCATTAGCTTAATAAGAAATCTATGTATGCATTTATATATGTGTGTACTTATATATTGTTTTCATCAGGAAATACCAAAGAACGTAAATCTTACCTTCTTTGTCTCTACTTAAGTAGGCCATCTGAAATTGGACATAAGAACTCCGCCACATACACGCAAGCGATTGCAAGAACCGAAGAGAAACACGAAAACTGCGCTACTCACGCGCAACCGATCGCAAAAAAAACAAAACTTTTTTAAAACATGCAATCTGTTACACAACACACTGCCACACACTCCATCCATTGAGATTGCTGCGATCTGTTGCCTTGTCTGTGGCCCACTTAACAGCGCCCTAAGGCCCTGTCTCCACAGGAAAACACTGATGTCGTGAAAACTATGTCACAAAATATATTTCCAATGGAGACCGCCTATTTCTCATGTGCTGCAATATATGTCAGCGCTTATTGCTTGACATCTATTGCAGGCAATTCGATAGTTTGACAGCCATATTTTCATTTGAAAGAAAGCGTGCTGGTGGTAACATCGATGAAATTTTTATATTAAATCAAAATAAAAGTCTGTTCCTTATTGGATTATTTATGATTACGTTTTAGGAAATTATTCAGCAAGTTTTTTAAAGATTTAAATGTTTTTAAACACCGAAATTGAGAGAATGTTGTCTGGTGGCGTCATGCGGCAAATGCTTATTTCAAGACATCAAAGTGCCCACACACAAAAACTTGCAATCACATTGCTCGTCAAAATGACAGTTGGTAGGCCATCGCTGTTTGCCTGTGGAGTTCTGCGGTAATAGGGCTTTCGCAGGGGCGATTTTTCAGGCAGCGTTTGCGTTCAACACACGCAGGGTTGCACGAAAAAAATTGAATGGCTAAAAATATCAAAATATAAAAAACATATCAAAATATTCGCCATAAAAAGGCGTTTGCATTGTTCAACTTTGCATGGTACTTTTGGTTGAACGGTCTTTCAAATAATCGCTTTCAACAAAGTTGGTCGCCAACCACGGTGTAGCAAAACATTATTTTTCATCATCATTCTATCATTTTTGGCCGCCAACCAACATTTAGCCATTAAACTTTCTTTTTCGTGCAACCCTGGGTGAGTTGAAAGCAAAAGTTGAACGCAAAATTTTTGTTCTTTTACAAATTATCCAGTAACTTGCCAGTAATTCTCCAGTAATTTAATTTCTGAGATTTTGCTCTCATAGCACAAAAGTACAAGAACGCAAAATCAGTAATAATTTGCAAGTTTTACGAACAGCTGATTAATTTGTTGTTTATTCGTAGCTAGTTCCTATTAAAGCAATATATATTATATTTAAATAGGTTTATTTTTTCAATTTCAACTATGAAAACCTCATAAACATTTCTTTTATTAGTTTTAATTCCACCCAGCAACATGCGATCAGCTGTTTTTCTCACTTGCAAGTTCTTACTAGCAAAAATTTATCCAGTAAAAACTAGCAACTTCTCTTAAGAAAGAAATGTCAATTTGCGCTCTCAATTTCCCCTTTCTTACAAGTTTTTTGGGTACAAGAACACCAAAACTGGATAGTTAGTACAAACTGGTACAAACTATCGCGTATAAGAACGCTATTAAAATCGCCACGTGCTAACACCTTTTAAGTATTTTTTTATGGTAAACCATTGCATTGCATGCAAGCTAGCAATCAAAAATGTCTAGGTGTTAGTTACACTTGATTACAACCGTGATACAGATTTGAGGTTATGTTTTTCAGCATGGAAATTAATTCACTTTTCTTTTGGCTAGCGCAACGTGCATTTGATCAAAATTCTTTCTCCTGGTAAATTTGGAGTTTTAGCGGGATTGTATTAATTTATTAATATCAAATAAAAATGGGTACTTCAGATGAGGACGAAAATTCTTCGAATGCGAGTGATGATGAGCAAGAAATAGTTGAGGAGGAGGTCGAGGAAGAATCGACTGGTGATGAAGCAATAGACCAAAATGATGGAATCGAGGAGGAAGCTGATAGCGCAGAAGGAGGCGCGGCAGCTGAGAATGTGGAAACCAATGTCACATTTAAAGAACTTGTAAGTGTTTTAAGTTGCGATGGATTTTCATACCCTAATTTATGTTTATCGACATTTAAGGGCTTAACAGATGTACTGTGCCAAGCATGTGAGGAATTGAAATGGAAGGCGCCATCGAAGATACAGAAAGAAGCGATACCAGTAGCCTTAAAAGGGAAGGATGTTATCGGCTTGGCCGAAACTGGTTCTGGCAAAACTGGTGCTTTTGCTTTACCAATATTGCAGGCGCTGCTGGACAATCCGCAAAGATATTTTGCGCTCATACTTACGCCCACACGTGAATTGGCTTTTCAGATATCGGAACAGTTTGAAGCTCTAGGTAAATATCTATATAAAATAAATGGATAAGTGTGGTCGAGCCCCTAGTTCCCGCTATCCTTCCACTTTTTAAGGTTTTTGGCATGCAATGATGTATAAATTTATTTTGATTTTGTAACATGAAATTAATTATTTTAGTTTCGTCACTACCTCTGAGCGCTTTTTATACATTATTCTTGATTTTATAAAAGTAAATTGTGCAGGCATTAAGAACAAAATTTACTTTTAGGAAGTTCCATCGGTGTCAAATGTTGCGTTGTGGTTGGAGGCATGGACATGGTCTCCCAAGCTCTGCAATTAGCGAAGAAACCGCATATAATTATAGCCACACCTGGGCGTTTGTTAGATCATTTAGAAAATATGAAGGGCTTTAATCTCAAGGCTATCAAGTATTTGGTGATGGATGAGGCCGATCGTATATTGAATATGGACTTTGAAGTGGAACTTGACAAAATATTGAAAGCTTTGCCTCGTGAGCGTCGCACATTTTTATTTAGTGCAACTATGACGAAAAAAGTAAAGAAATTACAACGTGCTTCCTTAAAAGATCCAGTGAAAGTGGAGGTTTCTAACAAATATCAAACAGTAGAGCAACTACAACAGTACTACATATTTATACCGGTGAAATACAAGGATGTTTATTTGGTACACATAATTAATGAGTTGGCCGGCAATAGTTTTATGATATTCTGCAGCACTTGTGCAAATACTGTCCGAACAGCCTTAATGCTGCGTGCGTTAGGTCTGGCTGCCATACCATTACACGGTCAAATGTCACAGAATAGACGTTTAGCTGCGTTAAACAAGTTCAAAGCGAAAAATCGTTCCATTCTAATTTCCACAGATGTCGCATCGCGTGGTCTTGATATTCCGCATGTGGATGTGGTTTTTAACTTTGACATACCCACACATAGTAAAGACTACATACATCGTGTTGGCCGGACAGCACGTGCGGGTCGCTCAGGAAAAGCTGTGACTTTCGTTACACAATACGATGTTGAATTATATCAACGAATTGAACATCTACTTGGCAAAAAGTTGCCATTATATCCTTGCGAAGAGGATGAAGTCATGGCACTGCAGGAGAGAGTGAGTGAAGCGCAGCGAACAGCGAAATTGGAAGTGAAGGATCTGGAGGAAAGTAAGGGCAGTAAGAAAGGAAAATTTAAGAAAGATGCTCATGATTTCGACGATTCCGAACAATTCACCGGCGCACGGAAGCGTATGAAGCCGCAGGGTGGCGGTGGAGGTAAGAAAAACTGGAAGAAGGCGAAGAGGAAATGAAATGATGGCCAAATGCTAATATTTAGTATTGTATGCTATTTAGTATAGATATTTGTACAATTAGTTTAATATAAAAAATGGATCTAAAATTACATCTGTAGTATTAATTAATGAAGAAAGACACGGAATTATTTATTTACATATTTCGAGCTGGGTCAATTTCAATTCTAAAATGAAATGGTGCTAAAGTTATTTTATAAATCTCAGGATTGCATTTTACCTATTTAAAAAGGACGAGGGAGGCCTCTGCTATGCAGTACTTGGCTTCACTTGGCATTTCCAATCGGCGTCAGTTTGCATAGCAGAGAAAGGACTGGCATAGCTTAATGGAGTAGGCGCCGTAACTGCCAATCAAGAAGGAGAATAGCCTGCATGGGGCGCTTGTTTCGAATCTGTTTTGCAGAGCAATGTGGAACGGATCATCATGGGAGATTTCGAAACGTTCCCTCATCGGTCGGTAACAAGTGGACAGATTTATATCTGATCAAAGATGCTGCCACTGAAGTGTTCCCCGAAGACTGGGGGAAATTTAGGCTATTACGTTTAAATGCATAAATACGATGCCTTCTAATACCTTCGACTTTTTTTGCGTAGAGGTCTAAGAGAAGGTACCTTTTTTCGGCGTTACAGCTATTAGAAAAATGTACACACATTTGAATGTAAAAATTAATGTTTATTAAAATTTTGCCAAAGTCTTTGATTTCCTTAATTACATTCATAGGTAATGTAAATCCAAAATTTTTACTAGTCATTAATTACAATGTTTGACATTAACTAAAAATTGAGAATAGATTATTAAATCGTACGGTTATATGTATTCTACGCGTTTTGCTATTAAAAACTCGTTATTTTATAAATGTATATTAATTAAGCTAAAAGGAAAATTTAGCTAAGTAAAGCCAATTCAAATCGTAACGAATTTGTATTGCAATTGTAAGGAAGTCAGCTATGTACAAATGCGTTTTTCGTACAAAGGACTAACTGAAGATCAAAACGTTTCAAAAAGCATCAAGAAATAATCTCAATATGTATTGCACTTAACATCAAAAAGCTCGCATACGCCTTCGTCTTTTGTTAATACGAAATTATAATCATCGTGTGGGGGATTTAATTGAATCAGGGGTGCATTTTCTGGAAAAGTTAAAAATTTTACGTTTTTTATATGAACAGATTGATAAGAATTTTTCGCTTCGCACCTAAATTTGGATCATCCGGAAAAAATCGGCGCAATGAGTGTTTGGACAATGAATTTTTAAAAATTATACGAGCCGCAAGTTGATTTTCTAACTCATCCTGTTCTTTCTTTTGGTCAGGATTACAAAAGTACGTATGCTCATCCGTGACTAGAGTTGGCTTAGTGGATGAGCTCGTTCGTGAGCCATTCGATGAAGAGGGTGAAGGCGTTTCTAAGCGGGAGACCAATGGCGCAGTTTCTGGTTTAGGCGCTATGCAAGTACCTTGTTGCGTTACCAGCCGCACATCAACTTTGCCGCCATTGTCCAGCGATACATACAAAGATTTCTGCAATATATACAAATTTTATAAATATTACGGGCGGATAAAAAAACCATGTTACATACGCGCCCAGGCTCTATTTTGACCTCCTCATCATGGTTCGGTATTACAAGAACTACATTATCTCCGTAAGTGGAAAGCAAGTCATCGCGCGTCACATATGCGAACGACTTGTTAACCGCATCATTTTTAACATACTTCAAATTGCGACGAGCATATTCTAATTGCAGATCTACATCGGCTTCGAGCGCTTTCAAATGTCTGGCTCGCGCATGCGCCGCTCGCAGACTTTCCCGACCTGTAGTTGTGTTCAATGCGCCGCTGTCCAGAGTAATAATTAAACAAATTATATAATAAATAAATTAAACCCAGTCATGCTTCAATATAACTTACCACCATCGCACTGTACTGCTGTGCCGTGTCTTTTCAATCAAGCCCACACCTTCCAAAACGTTTGTTATGTCGTAGATTCTACGTTTTTGCACATCCAAAAGCTCAGTTGCCTGATGAGAAATCAATTTGTTGAACTTAATGCATACAGACATTTGCGCAATAAAATATTACAAGTGCTAATGCCCGCCAATCATAATCTTTTGAACTACATACATTTGTATATTATATATTTTGTTGAAGCGCCAAACACAGTTATATATTGCGCACCACCCTTCACATTACCCCACCCACTTCTATCAAAATCTATAAATGCATGCAGAGCAAAAATATGAACTTCTTTGCAAGTTACCTCTTTGAGATCAATTCGTCCATGGTTTTGCTTCATCAAACGCACGAATTTCTGTGTAAGTACCACTAGGGATCCAACAGCGCGATGTTGTTCCTGCCTGGTTGGGGTGGGCGCGGAGCCATTCAGCACTACTCGTTCGCTCATTATTGCATCTCGCACAGCTTTCGCATTCATGGTGGGAACGAAATACTCACTTGTTTATAGTGTTTAATAATATATAATATACAATTATTTTGTGTGTTCGCTTTAAAATAACTAGATTGGGGCGCGAATATTTTTAATAAAAGTAGATTGACTAAATTTTCAACACTGCCGCCATTTCGTCTTCTTCTTCTATTGGGAATTTTTCCACTGACGACCGATTCACAATAGTACAACATATTTCGAGTCACAATTATTCATACTAGAAGCTTCACCGCGCACTAGCAGGGTTTGGAAAAGTCAACAATTAAAGTGGAAGATACAGGAATAGAACGAATAAATATTACATTATCTTAAAAAATTAAGAAATATTAAATGCAATGACTCCGTTAAAAAAGAGAAGCCTTTTCATCGATTTCAGAAGTCAAATCTGTGAACGACTGACAACCATTCGACGCGGTGCGACATCTATCGGTGTTCTTACCTTTTTGTTTTCATCAGATCACATCACATGTTTTGTTTTTTCCACATTTTAAGTTTGTTTTGCTCCCTGATCCCGTCGTGTGTGTTAAATAAAACACGCTTCAGTTAATCCATCAGCTAAAATTTTTAATTATACTATAGTCATTACTTACTAAAAAATGTCTTCTCAAAAAGCACGTCCACGCCTTTCCAAGGGTATATTGGAGATGAAGTTCATGCAACGAACAAAGGCCAAAGTCGACAAGGAGATCGAGGAAGCTGAGGGGCGTGAAATGTATTCCCAAGAGATCACCCAGAAAATGTTGAATAGTAATTCAAACTTCATAATGGAACCCAGCTTTGTGCATTGCGAGAATCTGTTGGACGGTCGGTGGAGTTTTCGCGGCATGAACCCGGAAATCGAACGCCTATTGGAGTTGGAGCAACAGGAGAAAGCTGCCAGTGTACGACATGAGCAACCGAAAGAGGTGTCTGACAAAGAAATGGCTGCATTTTATAATGCACAACAGGTGACGATGCAAAAGAAATTCCAGACAAAGGCACAATTTAAAGGTAAACACCGTTCCGGTGACAACACGTCGTGGCAAAGTAAAAAGATGAAATTCCAAAAACCACGCGTGGACGACGATGACGAAGATGAGAATAGTGAATAGATAATAAAACTTTGGGTGAAATTGTTATTCAAATCGTACTTAGTGTTTTTTCTCCGTATAATTTTATAGTTAAAACTTTACAAGGGCTTTTAATACATGATTCAAATTCGTTGAAATAAATTTATTCAGCTTTAATTGCTTGAATAGCATAGCACATCATATTGGTGTTAATCCAACGCCAGCGTCTGCGAATGACGTCGTATGTGTATCCATTGGTCAGCACAGTTTGACAATTTACTAAAAGATACAATTTCGAATTTAGCAGTTGAAAAAAAAATAAAACGTGGGACGTATCTCACTTACATGCAGAAAGAATGCGTTGCACATCCAGTGGTGACACTAACTTATCCCAATGGTGTGTGTTTTTTGGTGCGATGCCGAAAACATATTCGCCAAGCAGAATGCCACCAAGCCAAAGCGGGATTGTCTTATTCATGGTAGTTATGAATATTGATCCGCCAGGCTAAACTCAAGCGAGTAATTGTATACAATCATATATACATATATTTTAGATTAGAAAATATTTCAAATAATGGCTAAAATAATACCTTTAAAGTATGTACGCAATGTGTAAGAAATCCTGCTTTGTCATCAATATGTTCCAAAACCTCCGAGCATACTACAGCATCATAATAATTTGAATTCGATTTTGCATGTACTTCTACTGGTTCGATTTTGTAAGTTATTCGATCTTTCAGTTCTGGACTATGCGACTCTAAATGCGTTCGCGCTGTTGTTATAACGTCTTCGCCCAAATCAATGCCTGTAACATTAGCACTTAAACGTGCCAATGGCTCTGTTAAAATACCACCTCCACAACCGACTTCTAATATGTTTTTGCCTTGTAAAACCTTGCTTGTGTTCATTAAACTGCGATCAATGGTACCGCGAGTAACCATGCCGTCACGTACCAAAGGCACTCTATGTAAAGATGTACTTTTAATTTAACAAACTCTAAAGTGGACACACCTACCTTAATTCGTTAAGCTTATGTAGTCCATGCATTGGACCATTTATATCCCACCAGGTTGAAGATAAATTTGCATGATGATTTATTTCTTTTTGTGTGCTAGCTGAATGGCGAGTTTCCTTTTGGGTTTTGGCTGAACTTGTGTCCGATGTTGACGTATAAGTACCATTTGTAGACGTTTGTGCATATCGGATATTTATAATATTATTTAACAGCAAATACCTGAATAAAAATATATATTTGCTATATGTACTATGCAAAGACAAGTAGCAATACCAAACCTATGTGTCCGCAGTAAAGGTGATACAAATTTAACTGCTTTACAGGCCATGTTGCTGGTATTTGGTTGCACTTGACGGTTGAGTGTGACTTATTTAAATAAAATTGTTTTTATATGTTTTCGCGTTTATGTTTTCGTGGTAAGTAATCGGAAACATAAACTTCTATCACTTAACCGGACGAAAAAAATAAACAAAAATCATATGTTAATGGCAATAAATTGCGTTGCCAGCTATCCCCAAACGGGACTTTTTCGAGATATTATTGGTGGCAATTTTTCATTGCCTACCAACTTAAGAGCGAAATACA